GACAAGAACAAGGAGCAAAGGGTCGCAGGATACTGAGCCACCCGCAGAGCCAACCGCCCTCAGATAAAATCTAAATTACTCCATACATCGCACGTACACTATTTGAATGTTCGTTGTTCGTATGGAAGATCTTTACGTGAACCGATCCAGAAATTATCCTACTCTCCATAAAAATATCTTACATTCATTTATACAACACACCAGCATGGCTCGTTCAGTTCAGAAGCTATCAGCTTTATAGTTAGAAAACCAAGGGATAGATTCAAGTCACATACGTAACTGTTGGTGTTTTGGTATAATTTTCTCGCCATCTGAATATTGTTCCACTGCTAGGTCACGGGGTCCTCATGAGAAATAAATTGATCTTCAGTTAGTCTACACCATTGCCATGACTGTCAATTTTGCGAATATTACACCTTGATATCTTCATTGTGGCTTCCTTTTCATGTATCAATAATTTGGAAGATTCTGAACAAGAAAAATTTGGATTGAGTCCTGTTTAACTAGAACTTTGGGTATCATATTTCATAGGTGTACTCCTGGTGGCCGTGAAAACCTCAAAAACAATGATTTTATCTTTTTATCTACTATTGTTAGAGCTCTAGCAGTATCGTGTTTACTGGACTGTCTAATAGAATATTGATTTTCCAATTGGCCAATTTTCCATTTTTGCATTGGTCTCCTGTTGCAAAGGACTTGAAGATATTAGTATATTCCTTACGACATCAATCCCCTTTCAGTTTTATGATAAACTAAAGATATAAAATTTACGTGTTTTAGATCTCTTCTTTGACAAAACTAAGATTGTCATTTTTGGCTATCGTTATGTTAATGTATGACCCTGTATCATCGAAACATATTCGACGTATTTCTGGGAATCAAAAACCGAAAGGTATTTCTTTGTATGCAAACAGGAAGATAGGAGCTCTGTTTGAGTCCAATAACTTAAATAAGACTGTTTCGATGTAAACATGAATTAGCACAAAAGTTAAGGAAGTCCAGCATCCGGCACAATGAAGCCCAGGAAGACATGTAGCTGACGCCAGGTAGTTGTTTTTCTGCCGTAAGCTCTCCTTCCTGAGTTTTACTACTTCGTCCTTGTTTACGCCAGCAGAATTACCTTGGACTTTATTTTGACGGAAATGACTATTGCTCAAAAAGAGATTGGCTTTAGAAATGTGCACTATGACACTCAAACAATATCATCTGTACGTATTCCCAACGAGAAAACAGTTAATTTAGGGGAAGGATTCCGGCAACCTTGATCAACTCTGACCGTTTCTGCAGCAAGTGTAATGTTCTTATGTTTTAATGATAACCAAGATGGAAACAACATAGATAGATGTCTTATGGAAGATGCGCTTTTGGAATTTCAAGAAGATCATGGCGAATAAATTTAGAGTGGAAACACCTGAGCCTCTTTGGATTGAGTCCTGTTTAACTAGAACTTTGGGTATCATATTTCATTGGCGTACTCCTGGTGACCGTGACTACCTCAAAAACAATGATTTTATCTTTTCATCTACTTTATTGTTAGAGCTCTAACAGTATCGTGTTTACTGGACTGTCTAAAATAGAATATTGAATTTCCAATTCGCCAATTTTCCATTTTTGCATTGGTATCAAAGGAGTTGAAGTTATTAGTAGGTACAATGTTACCACCGCTTGCATTTAAGCTTCTCCTTCTAGTCTAAATGAAATATTACATCTCATTAGTAGCTGCTTGTTCGTCCGAAGACAGTAAGCATCAAGATAGAAAGCACATGCAAGTGTAAACATCAGAAGCGAGATATGTTCAATGCGGGATCTTGGAATCGTTACCTTAAAGACGTCATCATTCAATGTCAAAGTGGCAGCTGACGGCATGGCACAGTACCACTGCGCCCGTTAAGGCACTGACAATCCTGTAACGTACTTACACCATAATATATACCATACATTCATCACAAACCCATTCTGGACTTAATGTTCTGCCCGCATCGGTAATATTTGTGCGTGTGCGTTTAACACAGCGAAACTTCAATGGCTCATTTAGAATTCAACCGCAAGAAATAATGGCAAAGAAGCGTTTAAAGGCAATGGTAATCAGGATAGCAAACGGCTATTGCACTTTTCAATATTTCAGCCACTTTGTTGGATGATTAGGATGTCACCGTGTTGCAGGATTTTTGGTTATAGTTTAATACCGAAAAACAAGTCAGGTAGGAAAAAAATGGTCTTGACGGAAGTAACTCAATACTTATTCGATTTTGAACAAGACGTTAAGGATTAGTAGAAATAGGTTCGGAGTATTTTATGTCGTCGAAACCCTGCACCTTTCCTTTCACTTCTTGTTTTTGACTTAAATGGTAACATTAGGGATTCTTTACCGGTTGAATAATCTGATAGTAGACATTTTCCTTTTCTGGTTTTTCCTCATAAGGCCGATCATCTAGCTAAATATAAAATATAATTAGAAAAGTCAACATAACCTAACTTATTTTGCTTTTTATCTAATTTTGATTATGTAAACTTGTCTATGGGGCTTCCTCTTTACATTAAAAATAAATAAATAAATCATTTTTTTGTAATATGTCTCTTGCTAAGTAGTAGTGAGCAAATGTGACACAATTGTCAAGTTTTTTAGGGAAAATGGGTGCTATTTGTGACACTTTGGTTTTTGATGACTACAAACTGGGTAGGAAATGCCATCTGTAGAGATTTGCCGCTAATGTGACGAATTCGACTAGCAGGAAATATCAATAGATAGCTTGTACTATACTGTTTGTGGTTATTCATTAAACGCTGTCAATCAGCTGGTTTAGGCAGGCGTGCTGATGAGGTCCACGTCTGACAGTTTCGACACAATGCTGATATTTAGTTTTAAAGTTCAACAATTTCGTCTTAATTGACCTACCTGATTTAACCTAGACTAGAAACTAAACATAAATAATAAATGATGTAGAAAAGCGAATGTGTTCAAGTAAATTCATACCATATGTGTTTTGTTTACTAGGTATGTAAAGTACAATGTTCGCAGTGTCGTTAGGGTCGAAAAGCGACAAAGTTTGGCATTTGCAGTATGAGTAATTATGAAAACATTATGATATCAGTTAGACGATGGAATAGGTAGAAATACACTTGGGGACAAAAGCTGCAATAATTCTGTAAGATTACATCGCATTAATACGGGCATTAAATATGGCGAGATAGCGCACGGTAGCCATGTAAGCGAGCGAACCAGCATTTCGCGAGCCACAAGACGACGCGATGCGACGAGACGCGGCGAACGTTGCATGTGAGAAATGCACCCCGTGGAAGCGGCAATTTATCTTGCCGCGCAACACACAATGGACAAACAAGAGAGGCGCGATAACAATCGTGACGATTCTTTTATTTGCCCTAGCGCGAAACGGGAAATAAAAAGTTTTTAAACTGTTTATAAAATGATACCGTGGCAGAATTTGCCTCCACTTACGAACGGCGACTAATGTCGGTAACCATCGAGAATTGCTTCAGCTATCTTTTTAGATAAAACAGAAACGCTTCATGAAAATGCATTGCTTATATTGTTGAATTTTGCTGGTTTTAGGAGGATGGAAATCCAAAGTAATGTTTTTAGATCGTTGCTCTGTTGGAAGTAACAAAGTGTACATACAATGTAGAAATCTTCCCGAAGTGAGTTAGTTTTTTTTTAATATGAAATATTCTCAATTTTTACCCAATACACACTTCCTCAAATTAATGAGGAAAAATTGAGAATATTTCATATTAAAAAAAAACTAACTCACTTCGGGAAGATTTCTACATTGTATGTATATTTATATTCAGTATATAGTTACATCAGTTCGACGGATCTGTGACTAATAGTACGGTTTCTCGTTGTTGCTGTTGTCTTCTCTCGTAGCTTAGTGGTCAAAGCATTGGCGCGTAAAGCCAAAGAGCCCGGGTTCGATTCCCGGCGGGGGTGTTGTGACAACAGCAACAAATCTTTCCTCATTAATTTGAAAAAGTGTGTAGTGGGTAAAAATTGAGAATATTTCATGTTAACAAAGGGTACTTCATTTATTTTCTCTAGCGATGTGCCCCTTCCAATGTCTAGGGTGCGCGCTGACAAAATCGTGGGTGGGGAGAAAAAATCTCATTATACTCTCGACTCTTGTTCATTAAACATACTTTTTCATACAGTACCTGCCAAAAGTTTTGTTCAATCATGAATAGTAGTACGAGTCGAAAACGAACGTTAAAGCCTTTAATATGTCTTCAAATATAATTAAACATCTCGTTGATATTTTCAGTAGTAAATGGTACCAATAACAGCACATTTGGGCAATGCAATTTTAGTGGANTAAAAAATGTTTTCGAAGAAGGAAGATTCATACGGATGGGCTTATCGGAATTAAAGCGAATAATAATTAATAATAACGTCTTAAACAACTTTACATTGTTTTGATGACAATCAAAGGTTGGCTTTTTGCCATTTAATTTAACTAGGTACCGTTATATTGGTAGATAATAAAGGAGATCCTAATTATCTAACTCATCACAAAAAGTTTCTCGAGTTGATTGAAATAGAAATGGAAGAAATATAGGCAAGAAATTGAACCATTGCTCCTAAAGGTCAATTAGAAATTAGACAATAGACAATAATTGTGGACAGGGAAAATAATGGTCGAAATGGTATGCTAGAGACATCTATTGTGGAGTGCTGAATATATGATTCCAGCTCAGCAGTTTCCGTTCCAGTTTTCAAAGTGCTCTCTGCAGGACAGACTTTGGAGTTGGAAGAGAATGGAGATGGGCAGAGTGGAGTATATGGTAATGATCTTTGTTTTAAAATACCATATTCATCTTCATTTGAGATCGCTATGGACAACAAAATATTTCAAAAATAAATAAAAGCAAATTTAATTTGAAGTGTTAGAAAACTATTGAATTTTATCGTTCGGAAGTAAGTGCCTACTTAATATGGAATCTGTACAAAAACGTTTTAAGGCGGAGAGCTGCTAGTGGTATCTATGATTTGATGAAACAAACAATAAGTGAATAATATGTCAAAACAAAGCTAACATATAACTAAGTGAGCAAAAAAGGATTTAAAAAGTATTTTCCAAATAATTTGCAATAAATTTTAGACTTTGTACTTCAGAAATAAATAACTGGATTGAAATTCTAAGAAATGGGGACATGGCAATTGGAAGTTGGGAAGATGGCGATTTATTTGATGTTCCCAGTAGGTTTGTTCCACTATTTCAATCAGCCCCAATACTTTGAAGAATGGGTGACGAAGACGAAACGTGAACTGTATCCTCCAGAAAATGCTGATATGAGAGCGGAAATTCAAAGAGTTAAAATAGCAATAGAAGAAAAGCATGAAGCAAAAATTCTGAAGGAGTTGGAAAAACAGAGATCATGAAGACTCAGTTTACATGAGTGTATAGTGAACACTGAAGTTATTTTATCAGAGACAAAACTGTTAAATATTTAATGTGTCGTTGATTGTAATAATTTAGTAATCTTGTAATAGTTTGTAAATATAATTTTGCATTTTGCATATACATTTTCTTTAATTGTGAGATACCTGAGTATCTATTTTAGTTCTTCAAAATTAACAATTAAATTTTCCTAATTTCTATGTAGCTTCTTATTGTATGAAAAATGATAAACAACTTTAGTTTTGTTTTGACTGAAAAAGTACTTATTGAAATCAGTTTTTCATAAATATACAACTGTGGGCACAGTTATTAGACGAGTATATAAATTAGAATTTATTTTTAACATTCACCGTTGACGTCGGTACGGTGTAGCAGCGCCAGTCAAATTTTGACTTCTTAGGAGCGAGTACCTGAGAAGACAGAGATTAATATATGTATAGAAACAAGCGATATCTGTCTGTCTTCCTCCGTAACTAGGCCTTCTGGTTATGGTTATGGAGAAAGAGAGACAGATATCGTTGGACACTATACCTGCCTCTTTTGGATCACGCGGAAAGAGGCCGACAGTAGATTTGTTTGATGCCTCTCTCACTTGTTCTTGCAGGAGCACCTAGGAGACACTCTGCGCTATTCGACCAGCAACAAAAAAAAATAATCATTGCAGTTTATTACAATAATTACTTTATTAACATATTGGGTTCCAATATTTTATTTAATTTCCTAATTTGTTAATAATTGGAACTGATACAGCTAGAGCCAGTAGGGGTAGGTAGCAAGATGCTCCGAGACTGGACACTTCCACAACAGCTCCAACTGTAATGGGGCTAATAAAACCGCTTAGAGGCACAATGCTATCAGAAGCACCAATAATAACTCCTTTATCTTCATCTTTAATACGATTCAGCAATATTTTCATCCAAACTGTGTCTAGCAATACTTTTCCAAATATTAGTGGAGTACAGAGTATTACAAATGCAGAGAAAGATTTGCTGACTGCCATTAGAGCAAAAGCCACTCCTTGCAGGAGTAGAGATAATTTAAGTAGTTTATTGGTACCATTTTGATCATCTGGATATAAATTCCGTTGTATGAACGGCATGAAGATGTTTGAAAGTACCATAAGGACACTGTTGTATCCGATAAAGTATCCCAGAGATTTTGTGGGGATATCGAACACTTCCCTCATTAAAATTATCAGCGTCGATCTCCAAAAAGAAAAAGCCAATTCGCTGGCCATTTTGACTAAAAAGACGTCCCAAATCAGCGTCCAGTTTATTTGTTGGATGTTCTGGATTACTCCTGACTTTGGTTTTGTTGGTTTGGCGGATGTTTGGGTCTCCGGAAGTAAAGCAACGGCTCCTAAATGTAACAGAAAACAAATAATGTACGGGGTGATTTAGTGGATTGTGATTCAGTAGTGTGCAATTGAACCGAACATATGGCTGGAGGTATTTGTTCTAGGGCCTTCACTGCTGAACATATCTCAGGAATGATTAGGATTGAAAATTTTGAGTTTAATGCCACATGTTTGAAAATGTTTAGTCTAGTAGGTACAAAGGTGTCGATTGTGTGGATTTTTGACAAGATACAGAGTAGAAAATATGTCAGGTTTACAAATAGTCTACAAGTTGTGTAAACTTCTATGATAAAAAACGATTGTTAGATTTTTATTGCATTACTTAGCAATTTTAATTGTAGATAGATACCTAAATCATTGTGATTATTTTATTTTATGATATATTATCAGTAAAAGTCCAAATATTGCCTTATTTAGGTACTACATACATATAACTACTAACTGTAAGATAGCCACGTTTTCGAATACAAATGATAGATAATATTCAGAGCAATCATAAAGGCACAAAAGTTTCCATGAAATCTGCTATTGAATGAAATATTCGCAATTCATGATGAGTATTAATTACGCTTACTTACCCAAGCATGCCAAGTATAACGTATTGACTATAACAACAATATAAAAGAAGTCTCCGTGAGCAGCGTAAAGATGACCTCCAATTACTGGGCCTAATGTGAATCCAACCCCTAATAAGGCTCCGATATTGGTGAAGACGGTTACTTGTTCCTTTTCGGGAATTATATCTACCGCGATCGCTTTGATTAGAACTTGGACAAAGTGAACGCCAGCTAAAATCATTTTAATATTACACTTGCTTACGAAAATAACACCATTCGATTTTTGATGCAGTTCAATTCTTTTTAATTTTTGGATAAGATGACTGATCACCTACTGATTGTGAGTAATTGACGGTCCTTATTTGAAATAATAATCAAGAAATCAAAGAACATTGGTTATGTTTCTATTTTCGCTTTATCCGTTTTATCATAGAATTGTTTTACATACAAAGCCGGTAAATAATATTTAAAAATATGAAAAGACAATGGGTTTCACGACCTGTATGATTCGAGGAGTTCAACATTTCAGCTTGACGGTTGTGGTTCAGGATTGATTCTCTTCTCTCGATTGAATCCACGAGTAGAGACATCGAGAGAAGAGAGTCAATCTGACGTTTTGCTAGATTCTGCAATTATCATCCTGAGGGAATGTGGTGAAAGCGTAGAATTCTTTTGACAGTCTCATCAACCCGACTAGAATAGNAAATAAGTCATTATTTCTCATAAAAAGTAAAGGATAAAAATGGTTATTGTGGGTTATCCCTAAGAGATAGACATATACCATCCCGAACTTTTTTGTAGACCCTTTTAAGATGTACAATAATATAGTACATTATTTTGATCTATCTCGTAGGGTTCAGCCAGCGTTTGCAATGTAAGCGCAAAAAATGTGTTTATTTACATCACATTAGAAACCTCTAACATTATCAGTGTTTCTCTATTATATTATGCATATATTATACATATAAACCTTCCTCTTGAATCACTCTATCTTCTAAAAGAAAACGCATCAAAATCCGTTTGCTTAGTTTTAAAGATTTAAGCATACATAGGGACAGACAGCGGGAAAGCGACTTTGTGTTATACTATGTAGTGATTAATAAATGTGGCGGTAAAGCAGAATTTTTCCTTAATTCGAATTTTCTCTGTATCGAACCTAATTGGTTGCATTCGTTATTTTTCATTAACGAACGTCTGTCGCACGTTTATTTTCCGTTCCATTCTTTTGTTTTATTTGGCCGTCAAGTGTTCACGGCCTCCTCCGATTTGCACGAATTCTTTCCCTTGCGCGCTTTCTGTTGTGTGACCACGATCGCGATCGTAGTAAGTCTGGCGAACGTAGTACTACGTACACGTACACATACAACAGATAGAAGCAATCAGGATGGGTAGTAAATTATCTTAATGAGCGACATGGCTTTTCTCCCGCGGCCATTAACTTTAAATAAATGTATTTGTATAAGCAATGGTAATAAATTAGTCTTCGCATTATTTTAAGACTTTATTAAGAGAAATTGCCCTTCGTCGTTCCATCTGCTAGGTAAACAAAAGAATTTTAGGTATACGAGGCTTGTTTCAACAATACATTCGACGTAATTGCTACTTGATATATATAATACCAAGTTATTGGCAGTATACCGCCATCTGCTGGTGTTTACATCAATATATTTCAAATACATGTCAAACTAAATTCACGACGCAAGCCAAATTAATAAAGAACATTAAATTCTTGGCCAGTAATTCATTGAAACTACGATTAGACGAACTTATTAGTTCAACACACATTAGCCTTATTGTTCTTCAACAATTTCGACATTGGATTCCAACATAATATGGATAGGTAGCTCAACTACGAATAAATCTTAATTTAACAACAGGCATAATGCTAAAGGAGCACTGGTACGATGAGATATAACCATGAGCTAACATTGAGAGTATCATCCAAAAGAAGCATCTATAAACAGTAGTTCAAACTCAGTCAACATCAAGCAAAGAACTGAAGACATCTTGCAGTTCCATATTAAGAAGTAACACTTAACAAATGGGTCGTAATTTTCGACAGTGAGTTCCAATTTGAATCCAGAACACATCGAGATTTTGAAATATTTTAACTTCAAATCTCCAAAAATACTTAATCTTTTTGAATGCGTTGTTACGCAGTAGTATGAAAGATAAAGCAAGCAGGAGAGCGGTTATTTTCGATTTACATTTTATCTCTGATTCGAATTTGGTCTCAAAACATATTGGAACTAGGAACCAGAGATTCTAACTTGATTAACTTGCAGACTTAACTGTTTAGCTTGTTTCATTTGAACGCAAAGGGATATACGTTCCAATGGGGAATGCTTTGAGGTTGATGGAGTGCATTGTTCAATGTTGCGATGACAATTCAAAAGTACTTTACTGCTTACGCAAACAGAAACATTTTTGTTGGGATACTACTTGAACGCTTCCCATTATAACAAGTCAATAATCCTGATCTTAAGTTTTACAGCTTGTTTGTCTGAATTAGTTATTAATATCTATTTTATTTTTGGAGGTTAAGTCTTGTAGACCTTGGGGACTTCCACATTTCTGCTTAAATTGGTCAGCCTGTATTTTAAATAATTATTATAAACCGTCAAACTTGTTCATAGCGGTTCTTCAGACACAACATTTTAGAGTAATATTGAGTTACTTATAGATCCTACTCCTTTTGTTCCATGTTCTTACTTAAACTAACATACATAAAGTAGGCATTGCATTTTGTACTCATGCCTTTCCATAATGTTTGCCTCTGAGGTGGTGCCCGATCGGAATTTATCTAATTGCATACTCATCACACCATGGAATCTTATAATCCGTAATAAGAAATTGAAATCTACGACATCGGCATTCCAAAGAATCTCCATGTGGGTACGTAATAATTAAGCGTTTCCAAGGTAGTCAACCTTCATTAATTAATTTCATACGCATAACATCACGTTTGCAATGCCACGAAATTATACCTCCATCATTTTTTATTATACATTATGATACAGAATAATTGAAAGTGATGCATTACATCCCTCCAAGATATAAATGACAATATTGTCAACCTTAATATTACTGCAGGAAAGTAAATTGGTATCGTAAGAAGTTGGCTAATTAATTGATTGAAGTCGGTAGCTTGTCCTGAAATTCTGTAAGTCAAACTCCATTTACGCAACAAAACTGTAAGTATTGTATTTGAATACTTTGCTTATCTGCAAGAAACGGGATAATTAATTCTTAACACAACCTCGAATGTCTACCAATACACGAATAATCGAACAATTCGACCCTTTTGAGAATACTGCGTGGGAGGCATAATACAATGCATTACATGGAATCTTTAAAGAAAAATGTATATGGAAAGGTAATCGGTAGGTACTACCATTTGTAGAAAAAGTGGATAGAATGAACAAATCATGACCTCACAAACACAACTCCTTATATATTGTGACACAACAGCAGTAGTTGTTATTTTACAAAAGTAATGACATTAGCTCGGTGTACATTTTGTATTAAACTGACTAATTTAGCTGATCTGAATTGATGTCGAAATGATGAACATGAACATCCGGCTCGAAGGACCACATAAAATGTTGATGCAGGACAGTCGGTGCTTAACTTATCTTACCTTCTGCTGTACGCCAACTTAATATTCTACAGCTAGTTGGTGATTTTTCCTTTAATAAATTTTACGCCTTTTTTTACTAGTTTTATTATTAAAGGACCGAGACTATTCACAATTAAAAATATGTACAACTATTGTAACTTAAGAACCGTGCTTACTGATGTATATTTATGAACTTTGTTTAGAAAATTTCAGACATGCATTTAAATAATCAAGAAAGAGAAGAACAATTTAAGATAGATAGAGATAGAATTGGAAAGTAGTATGCGAAACTACAGCAAATAGCTACATTTTAGGTAATTGTGATAAGTATAATGAAAAAGGTTATGAGTGAAAAATACGGCCATAATGTGATTAAAAATTATCAAACCATCTATCTACTTAAATCTGTAATTAAATAAAAAGCATAATCATAACGAAAAACAAACGTTTCGGCGAATAGCGACGGAAGAATGTGATGTTGTTCTAGTTTTAGGGAAATGCAAAGATTAGCTCAGGATAGGAAAGAGTGGAGGTGTGTATCCAACCAGTCTTAGGACTGACGACCTTATATTGATGGCATGGCCTAGAGGTTTAGACCATTGCTTAGCATTCGGGAGGACACCGGTACGATTTCGGGTTCGTCTGCCTTGGTCCAAGTCTTTCTGTGGTTTTCTTGGATCACTTAGGCAAACGCTGAGGCAGTAATATTCCACAGATAATCTTTCATTCTCTTTTGACTTCATTTCGTCCGTCTCATATTTCTCACCTGAACCACCACCCACCCATTCCCTGAAGCGTGCTTAAGAGGGCCTTCCGCCCTACCTTCCGGCGTAGTCCAGAATTACTGGTTGGTGGGAATGAAACACCCAAAACTTATAAAGTTTTTTGTCCAACCAGTCTTAGGACTGACTACCTTATGGTGATATGATGATAATGATGAACATCATTCAATATTTTGACAATCTGGCTGAACCATTGGTAAACGTTTGATTCAGGATCGCCCACTAAAACCGCAATGTTTTCCTAAGTGCCTAGTAGTATTTCAATTTTTTTACAAATTGGCATCACCGGGAACATTATCCTTGGAGCACACTTCATAGTGAGTATATTTTGCTGGTACGTAACAGTACTTGTTGGTAAGTGTTTGATTAACGGCCCTATCAGAAGCGCACACGGCCTACTACGTATCTACAACCTATCCGTACAGAAGTACATATATACATTTGTCTCGTATGTAAGACAGGTACCGATAAAGCGCACGTATGTATGTAGGTACCTGCGGATATGGAAGTACAATATGCATACGTGTGCAGCGATACAGTGTGCGAGCAATAATCGCGATAACGTCAAAAGATTAACGCTTTTCGTTGACGCAAACGGCACGTTTCGTCGACAGCATTGTTACGTAGCACCCACATCGTCTTCGGTTGCACCCCATGCGCTGCATGGCTTTCGATTGTAACAGTACTCTCCCGGAGCTACCGCTGACGCAACAAGATAAGTGTTCGAACGGCTACCGACCGCATGGTGACCGCATACGAAGCCGCAACATTCTGTAAAGATTCTTTTTGTTTGCCGTTAGTATGACAAGAGTAAAACAGTTCTGGACATGCTCGAGTTTGAAGACATTTCTCCAGAATTAGGAATGTCATAGAACATCTTACCTTTTACCTTCAAAAAATAGATGCTGGTTTTGGTGTTGCATCCGAACTTGTGGTTTAATATTAAATGTTGTGTCATTTAATGCAGTTACCTCATTCTACTCTCAAATTTACATCCCTATTTTAGGGCTCTTTTATATTGAAAATAGATTTTTAAAAATGCTGTTCAAATTTCAAGTGGATATCACAACTATGTTCGAACCCCTTTGAAGACAATAACATAATGTAAAAGATGACATGCTCATAATGGAAAATTGGAGAATAATCCTTCGCTATGAATATGCGTGTGAATATAAAAAAAAAACAGGGTCCACTATAACCTTTGCTTTCAATTCTACTGCTGCAAGTGATTGAAAGTAATTCCCTCTAAAATAAATATATTCTCCATAAATACCATAGAGATAGAAGAGTGATACATAGTTTGTATAAAGAGCAACAGGCAGTTATAGAGCTGGGACTGCAATTTTAGGAAGGGAGTCACACAGGGGTGCACGCTGCCACCGATATTTTTTAATCTAGACACCGAAGAGGCGATCGACATCATTAAAGATAAGATACAACTATAAGGATAGATGTACAGAGGCAAAAAATTAGTGTGCTTAGATTTGCAGATGATATAGCAGTATTAGCATCTAGCAAGGAGGAGTTAGATATAGCTTTAAATAAAATGGAAGCAGTAGTGAGAAAACAGTACTGTATGAAAATAAATAAAAGTAAAACAAAAATACTGGCATGCAAGGGAAAGAAAAGTAGGGAAAGAGCGAATTTAAAGATTAGAGACGAAAAATTAGAAGAACTGGCTGATTTTAGGTATCTAGGAAGTCAGATAAGTCAAGATGGAAGGAGTAGTAGGGATAAGAGCAAAGGGTGGAGTCGCCTTCAATAAAAAGAAGTCACTTCTATGCTCGCGAACGGTTAATTTAGAAATTCGAAAAAGATTGTAAAAGGTGAATGTTTGGAGCGAGGCGCTGTATGGATGCGAAACACGGACAGTGGGCGCGGCGGAAAAGAAAAGGTCAGAAGCGTTCGAAATGTGGTGTTACAGGCGAATGATGAGGATACCGTGGATAGAGAAGGTTAGAAATGAAGAGATATGATGATGAAATATCATACAATGGATATCCAATTCAATCAGGAAGATCTTACACTTACTATTATCAAAAAGGTGGAAATCCCAAAAACGTATCTGTATTTTAAGGATGTTCAGTCAACATTGAATGAATGAAATAGGTCGTTAATCAGGTTAAAATATCTGAGGTTCGAAAATTAAGAGTGTTTACAGACTATTTTCAAAAATGGAACAATTTTAATTTTCAGCCATAAACAATAGCTTTTCAAAAAGAGCATCTAAATTTTAGAACTCGTTAATCCTACATCTATATTTATAAAAGGATAAATTGCCGATTGATATTTCAACGAACAGCTTGACTCACTTGAGTCTAGAGACTTGGAATTTTGCAAAGACATTCTTTATGAAACGTAGGCACTAAGAAAGGCTTTTCTAAACGAGGTTTCAAAGTCTGATGTATCGATCAGGAGGGCACAGCCCAAGCCGCCGAATCAGAAATTTTGAAGTTTTCAACAAATGCTCCTTATTCAAAGGTATCATTCACTATAAAATGAGTTTTCAAAATATCACCCCTAAAGGGGTTGAGTACTATAGGATTCAGTTTAGGTTATGGTGGGAATGGTTTTAAGTGCTACGCACTTCTGACAAAGGTACCGTCCAAATTTGGACGGGTTGCAGCTGGTGTATTGTATTCAATGTTACAATTGTTTCGATGAAATTCACCGAAACTCCGTATAGGTACAAGGTATGTATCAGTTGATTTTAGTCTGTAGTTCTTAAGATAGACACTAATCGTAAAACGAACTGAACATAAGTAGAATGACACATTGAAAAGAGAACAAAAGAAGAATTGCTCATGTTCTGTGTGACGATTTAAGTGTGGGAGTTTAACAGTGGATATCTTCGTGCACATCTTACACGTGGGCCGTGGGGTAGGTCGCGGTTATACGTCTTATGCTAATAGCCCACACATCAAACGATCGCAGTATTCTTGTTGTTGTAGGATCGTGTGATATTGACTGTTACAGTCAAGAGTTTCGCTATGTTTTTGTCTCATCCAATAGGTAGCTGAAAACCCTCGGGGAATTGAAGCCAGCGTTCGAGAATTTTATAATCTTGTACTTAATTTGTACAAGTTTGTATTAGAAAATACCACAAATGATGAGGTAAACGCCATCTGTAGTACGATGCTACATTTTAGGATTACGTATGCTCCAACAAGGTCTATTTAAATATATGGATACCTACTTGCTGAGACGAATCCCGGCGTAGCTAACCTCAACGTGATAGGCACGTTAGCTTAATCGAATAATATAATTTAAAGTGGTCTGTATTCTGTCGAAACTGCCAGACGCGGATCGCGATTTCGATCTTTTTGGATCTCATCAGCGCGTCACAGACAGCTCCGATAGAATATAAACCAACTTTTACCTGCTGTCTTAACAGCGCGTTTCAGAAAATACCACAAATGGCGCGGTAAACGCCATCTGTAGTAGGATGCTACATTTTAGGATTACGTCTGCGTTTGTATTGGTAATTATAACATGAAACGGAACTAGTGAATGAACGATTTTCTACTGTTGATACCGCTTTGGCTATTTTCTCTCAAATGTCATCCCCATGCTTCTATTAAATGTCAAGTACTTAAAACTACGTCATGATGACGAAAGGCCAAATAATACCATAAAAAATGTTTTCGAAGAAGGAAGATTCATACGGATGGGCTTATCGGAATTAAAGCGAATAATAATTAATAATAACGTCTTAAACAACTTTACATTGTTTTGATGACAATCAAAGGTTGGCTTTTTGCCATTTAATTTAACTAGGTACCGTTATATTGGTAGATAATAAAGGAGATCCTAATTATCTAACTCATCACAAAAAGTTTCTCGAGTTGATTGAAATAGAAATGGAAGAAATATAGGCAAGAAATTGAACCATTGCTCCTAAAGGTCAATTAGAAATTAGACAATAGACAATAATTGTGGACAGGGAAAATAATGGTCGAAATGGTATGCTGGAGACATCTATTGTGGAGTGCTGAATATATGATTCCAGCTCAGCAGTTTCCGTTCCAGTTTTCAAAGTGCTCTCTGCAGGACAGACTTTGGAGTTGGAAGAGAATGGAGATGGGCAGAGTGGAGTATATGGTAATGATCTTTGTTTTAAAATACCATATTCATCTTCATTTGAGATCGCTATGGACAACAAAATATTTCAAAAATAAATAAAAGCAAATTTAATTTGAAGTGTTAGAAAACTATTGAATTTTATCGTTCGGAAGTAAGTGCCTACTTAATATGGAATCTGTACAAAAACGTTTTAAGGCGGAGAGCTGCTAGTGGTATCTATGATTTGATGAAACAAACAATAAGTGAATAATATGTCAAAACAAAGCTAACATATAACTAAGTGAGCAAAAAAGGATTTAAAAAGTATTTTCCAAATAATTTGCAATAAATTTTAGACTTTGTACTTCAGAAATAAATAACTGGATTGAAATTCTAAGAAATGGGGACATGGCAATTGGAAGTTGGGAAGATGGCGATTTATTTGATGTTCCCAGTAGGTTTGTTCCACTATTTCAATCAGCCCCAATACTTTGAAGAATGGGTGACGAAGACGAAACGTGAACTGTATCCTCCAGAAAATGCTGATATGAGAGCGGAAATTCAAAGAGTTAAAATAGCAATAGAAGAAAAGCATGAAGCAAAAATTCTGAAGGAGTTGGAAAAACAGAGATCATGAAGACTCAGTTTACATGAGTGTATAGTGAACACTGAAGTTATTTTATCAGAGACAAAACTGTTAAATATTTAATGTGTCGTTGATTGTAATAATTTAGTAATCTTGTAATAGTTTGTAAATATAATTTTGCATTTTGCATATACATTTTCTTTAATTGTGAGATACCTGAGTATCTATTTTAGTTCTTCAAAATTAACAATTAAATTTTCCTAATTTCTATGTAGCTTCTTATTGTATGAAAAATGATAAACAACTTTAGTTTTGTTTTGACTGAAAAAGTACTTATTGAAATCAGTTTTTCATAAATATACAACTGTGGGCACAGTTATTAGACGAGTATATAAATTAGAATTTATTTTTAACATTCACCGTTGACGTCGGTACGGTGTAGCAGCGCCAGTCAAATTTTGACTTCTTAGGAGCGAGTACCTGAGAAGACAGAGATTAATATATGTATAGAAACAAGCGATATCTGTCTGTCTTCCTCCGTAACTAGGCCTTCTGGTTATGGTTATGGAGAAAGAGAGACAGATATCGTTGGACACTATACCTGCCTCTTTTGGATCACGCGGAAAGAGGCCGACAGTAGATTTGTTGTATGCCTCTCTCACTTGCGTTTGCAGGAGCACCTAGGAGACACTCTGCGCTATTCGACCAGCAACAAAAAAAAATAATCATTGCAGTTTATTACAATAATTACTTTATTAACATATGGGGTTCTAATATTTTATTTAATTTCCCAATTTGTTAATAATTGGAACTGATACAGCTAGAGCCAGTAGGGGTAGGTAGCAAGATGCTCCGAGACTGAACACTTCCACAACAGCTCCAACTGTAATGGGGCTAATAAAACCGCTTAGAGGCACAATGCTATCAGAAGCACCAATAATAACTCCCTTATCTTCATCTTTAATACGATTCAGCAATATTTTCATCCAAACTGTGTCTAGCAATACTTTTCCAAATATTAGTGGAGTACAGAGTATTACAAATGCAGAGAAAGATTTGCTGACTGCCATTAGAGCAAAAGCCACTCCTTGCAGGAGTAGAGATAATTTAAGTAGTTTATTGGTACCATTTTGATCATCTGGATATAAATTCCGTTGTATGAACGGCATGAAGATGTTTGAAAGTACCATAAGGACACTGTTGTATCCGATAAAGTATCCCAGAGATTTTGTGGGGATATCGAACACTTCCCTCATTAAAATTATCAGCGTCGATCTCCAAAAAGAAAAAGCCAATTCGCTGGCCATTTTGACTAAAAAGACGTCCCAAATCAGCGTCCAGTTTATTTGTTGGATGTTCTGGATTACTCCTGACTTTGGTTTTGTTGGTTTGGCGGATGTTTGGGTCTCCGGAAGTAAAGCAACGGCTCCTAAATGTAACAGAAAACAAATAATGTACGGGGTGATTTAGTGGATTGTGATTCAGTAGTGTGCAATTGAACTGAACATATGGCTGGAGGTATTTGTTCTAGGGCCTTCACTGCTGAACATATCTCAGGAATGATTAGGATTGAAAATTTTGAGTTTAATGCCACATGTTTGAAAATGTTTAGTCTAGTAGGTACAAAGGTGTCGATTGTGTGGATTTTTGACAAGATACAGAGTAGAAAATATGTCAGGTTTACAAATAGTCTACAAGTTGTGTAAACTTCTATGATAAAAAACGATTGTTAGATTTTTATTGCATTACTTAGCAATTTTAATTGTAGATAGATACCTAAATCATTGTGATTATTTTATTTTATGATATATTATCAGTAAAAGTCCAAATATTGCCTTATTTAGGTACTACATACATATAACTACTAACTGTAAGATAGCCACGTTTTCGAATACAAATGATAGATAATATTCAGAGCAATCATAAAGGCACAAAAGTTTCCATGAAATCTGCTATTGAATGAAATATTCGCAATTCATGATGAGTATTAATTACGCTTACTTACCCAAGCATGCCAAGTATAACGTATTGACTATAACAACAATATAAAAGAAGTCTCCGTGAGCAGCGTAAAGATGACCTCCAATTACTGGGCCTAATGTGAATCCAACCCCTAATAAGGCTCCGATATTGGTGAAGACGGTTACTTGTTCCTTTTCGGGAATTATATCTACCGCGATCGCTTTGATTAGAACTTGGACAAAGTGAACGCCAGCTAAAATCATTTTAATATTACACTTGCTTACGAAAATAACACCATTCGATTTTTGATGCAGTTCAATTCTTTTTAATTTTTGGATAAGATGACTGATCACCTACTGATTGTGAGTAATTGACGGTCCTTATTTGAAATAATAATCAAGAAATCAAAGAACATTGGTTATGTTTCTATTTTCGCTTTATCCGTTTTATCATAGAATTGTTTTACATACAAAGCCGGTAAATAATATTTAAAAATATGAAAAGACATTTGGTTTCACGACATGTATGATTCGAGGAGTTCAACATTTCAGCTTGACGGTTGTGGTTCAGGATTGATTCTCTTCTCTCGATTGAATCCACGAGTAGAGACATCGAGAGAAGAGAGTCAATCTGACGTTTTGCTAGATTCTGCAATTATCATCCTGAGAATGTGGTGAAAGCGTAGAATTCTTTTGACAGTCTCAGTACCTACAACGTATCGACTGAACAGCGACCATCAAGCCATATTGAACCCTCTTCAACCCGACTAGAATAGGGGACATGTCTAATGTAGTGTGTGGGTTCATAGGCTATACTGAAGTGAGGTATGCCTTATGAGTTTTTCATAAGGAACTTATAAGGCTAATCTTATAAAGAATTGGGCAATTCCACCATCTGCCTCAAAGAGGTTCGATTAAACAAACATCAACTCTAGGCACATTTATTAGGTAACATCATGATTATCTGCTATTGACCCACATTTTAAAATTGTCAACTGTTATAATCCAATTGATTCAGTCAAAATCTCTTTAAACCGGGTAATAACTGTTTTTCCCAAGGATGGCCACATGCGGCATTTATTAAATGAGGCAATAATACGCCCTTTGTGTATAATATAGTGTCCACACGAGATAGGGTGTCTAACCTTGTTGCGATTCTACCTTCCCCCTTCCAATATTCTAGTCGGGAGACATACTTNCCTAAGGAACTCAAACCATTGCAAAAACCCAAAACTTCAGTCTGCTTCTCTTTAGGTATGATGTCAGCGATTACCGCCTTGCATAGCGTTTGAGTATGCTTTATTGAACCTAAAACGAGAATTAATGATTTCCGATATTCCATCATGAGTCGGAAAATAGATACTGACCCAAAGCGATTCTCACCAAGAAGAAGAGTAAAACGGAATTACAAAAACCCAGAAGGAAGTAAAGAAGGGAACAGGAAGATGTTACCAGAACTAAAATAAACTTTCTACCAAACGCATCACTAAGACTGCCCTGGAATTTGAGACAAATACAAAAATGAGTACTTAAAAGAAGACGTACAACAAAAAGTGCATATTACGTACAAAAACTGGACCCCAAAAAATTTGCAATAATGAATAAGTGGACTGGGCTAAGCCAACCGTAGTTCGTGACGCACCCACTGATAAAAGGTGCGAGCTAATCAAAGGAACCGTTAAACCAACAGCAAATAAATCCTGAAGAAATTAATATTTCAGTAAAGCGATGGACAACTACAAATACAAATTTTTAATTTTTTTACTAACCAGTAATGAAGTAAGGTAGATTATCGTTAAACTTTTACTCAATATCATCGTTCTGGTAAGCGATGTTTTATCGTTGAAACAACCAACATAATAATTATAATGCTGGTATTACTTAAAACAAGGTCAATAGTTAATTTCAAACAAAAGTAGCAGTGGAAATTCCATGATTCGGCAACTTTTATTTGATATCATTTTATGCTGCATTCAAATAGCTAATCTACTATTTGAAATACGTCTGACATTTATTTGTAGATTACATAATTAAAAACAGTATACAGTCTAGTTTGCCTACTATATTAGAATTATAGATGGAATATCTCTATATTGAAATCGTAATCTAATCGTAAAATCTAATGCAAGTGCATGTATCTATAATGTATCAGACCATTAGAATTTCGATGTTCCGACAGTTTCATAACAGTTTAAATGAAACCAAGAAAATAGTAACAGACGCAAACTAGCTACACTTAAAGCACTGATCCGCACCCACCTACGGTTCGGAAATAAAAGTGTCATGCCAGTTTACGAATGGTTTCTAGCAAATGACGGAGCATCGCTCACGAATTTTGACGAACATTCATCGTAACTTTATGAAGAAGGAAACTATTTATACTGGAGAAGAAATTTCAAGGACTCAAGGAAAGTTATTAGCATTTATTTACAGAAAAACCTTCTTCATAAATGGAAACGTTACAGGAATTTTCCTGAAGTTACTTCAAAATATTCGCCAGAGGTCAGACTCTTGCTCAATGATTTTGTTCAGTATAATCTATGAATTATATAGCGTCAGCAGTCAGTTGAAATTCGGAATCAATAAGGGGACATTTTCTGAGTTAATGTTTTATGTGGATGACAGTTGTACTCAGAGAAACTAATTTATATTTACTCAACTTAAATTTTACTGAAATTTGTAAATAATCAAATATTTAGATACTGTAGATGGTAGATCCTTATTCTTCTTCCACTTTAATGGATGGAACCAATCAGAAAAGTTATGAATGGTCTTCAGTGATGACTATTAGAAAGCTGACAAAAATATTCAATTGTGCTTTTTAATAGCATACTGACAGTTTCAACGGAAAACTGAAATAGTTTATCGTTATTGTTTCTTTCCTAATTCTATCATCCAAGAAAAGATAAAAAGAAACGTCTAAGTATAAGAAATTATGAATTATTCCGGATTTGGGATTAAAAAATCCAGACCTAAGACTTTACCAAAATTCTTTCAATTTTGCTTTATTTTTACAAACTCTAAATTCCAGGAAAAATCAGAAAATGAACAAAAGATATCAAAGGAAATTCCGCAAAATACGTAGTCTTTTAATTTCTCACTAAATAACAAACGAATTTCTATTTTTAATATGGTAGCATTGACCATGTTAGTTGAAAACATTCTTATAACAGCTGCATTTAAAATTATAACTTCAAGTACCTACTGAAAATGTAATACATACGCGTAGACACTTCTTCACGAATTCTATGTCAAACTAAACATTTTAATCAAGGATATCATGCATTATTATGTATTCTGATGAGTCTGGTTAACCAAAAGTTAATAAAGCTTTACGTTCAGTTGTTGTAAAATTGTTTGGGACATAGTGTGTTTAGACTTTGGACCTAACCGTAATATGTACCTACATCATGGATCGGGATTTCACATCGGATTGGTTCGGTTAGAAACTCGACCTCGAAAATTATCTGCGTCTCCAAACAGCTCAAAATATAAAATCCATTTGTATAACCTCATACATTTATGAGACAATTTTTTTAATGCCATTTCAGATAAAACACGTAACATTAGAAAATAAGTTTTAGTAGCTCATTAAGTACTTCGTGATGGCGGTGAGACATATGACTGCGGAATTTTTGAAAGACTATTTCAAAGCGACAAAAAACTTTGACAAAACACTCCAAAAGGTAAATTAAATTCGTAAAATTTAATCATCCAAAAATGTTTATATGTTTTAGTCTTAGGTAAAAATTTTAAATATAGCTAAGGGCAATTGTCTGGCCGAACTGAAGCTTGAAGAGGAACATACTAATTCTCTCGGCGGTCTTCATGGGGGGTTTTCATCCACATTGGTGGACGTTATCAGCAGTTATGGTCTTATAAGTCATGAAAAGTGTGACAATCGGCCGCTGAGCGTATCAGTTGATCTTCATGTGACGTAAGAATTTGACAATGCATAAAATATTGATCAAATAATTGCTGGTGTGTTATGAAATGTTATAGATTTCTCAAACCTGCCAAATTAGGGGACGAAATTCTCATCGACACGAAAACGAACAGGGTTGGCAAAAATTTGGCGTTTTGTGAAGTTGAAATTTTAAACAAAGAAACTAAAGAATTATTAGTTAAAGGAACTCATACTAAATTTATATTTTCATGAAATTAGTGTTATTTGATGTTTTAGACAAATTGGTATTACTTTGCTAACTTGCATCTAACTAGATTATATTAAATTATAAATCTCAAACTTTTGTAAATTACTTTCAATAGAATATGTATTGGAAATTATTTATTCAATTGTTTAATGTTAAATTGTTTGTTGAAGTATGTATTAAATAAATATTTTGTTAATCTTAAAGAACGGATTATTCCTAGAAATATTTTCTAGTAAATTTTCAAGTTTTCTTGTTGTGGACTGGCAGGTGTCCTCTAGCGGAAAAGTTTATTACAATGATCATTATTCATGAATCTGGCTACACTGTAGTAGATTCCTGCGCTTATAAATTTCTTTGTTTCCTAACTATGTCTGCCACTACTCAGTAGGTAGCGCTGTAAGTCCTAATTGGTACTTATTTCCAAGTAACTTTGGCTATTTTTGGAGCAATTTGATTTTGCTTTATTCTTACTAAAATCACTAACTACGAGTGATATTCTTGATTATCGTATATTTGTGTTTAATTTAATGAGTAGTTCTATATTTTGAATTCGATCCAAAATAAATTAATAGTAGTCGAATATTTATCCGCATGAAAAACGTTAATTCTATTTGTTTGCAATAAAATTGTTTACCATGGTAATTAATAAGTTAATGTCAAAATGACATTTAGAAAGGTAACGCTAGAAGGCATAAACAAATATTTGAAGTCATCCAAAGGTTTCGAAAAAAGTTTAGAAAAGGTATTTATACAACACTTCAGTATGAAGATGTAGCTTATTGTTAAAACAAAAAAAATTATAGGTCACTGTTTTAACCATAGGCGATGGTCATTGTCTCAGCGAGCTTAAAGTAGACGAAGACCACGTGAATCCATTTGGAACACTCCATGGCGGTATGACGAGCACTTTAGTGGATTCCCTGAGTACCTACGGGCTCATGTCCCACCCCAAGATTGGCTCAATTGTTACAGTATCACTTGACTTAAATATTAGGTCAGTTAAATCATTCACATTCTTTTGATCGGTGCAGGGAAATTTGAAATACGAAATTGTTGGCATTTATTGTGAGGTTTCCACCTAGGATTCCTTACAGTTTCAACCTATCTGTCGGTCTGTGGATAAATACGAGGGTTATGGTCCTTCCACACTCTTAATTAGATGACGGGATGTTTATAAATTACACAAAATTCTTCAATTTTTGAAACCTCTTTGCCCCATATAACGGAGGCGTGCATTGCCAAAGTTTCAGGCTTCCATGAAAAAAAGGTTTTTTACTTAATAATTCAATTTTGAATAAATTCTAAAATCTTTGCGTAATGCTGACAATGATCCTTTCCCACTTCCTCTCCCACACGACTAAGGAATAACAGGACGTCTTCATATTGATTATACAAAATGCTTTGATTTGAATGTTTCTCATAAATTGTTTGGTTACATTTAGTGCAGAATGTGGAGTGGGTTTAATCCAGTATTCTTCCCTTTGGCCCAACAATACCAGTTCTGGGTTAAAATGCAGCCATGTCACAAGATGTGAGGACCAAGTACTTTTCGATTTATCATTAAATCCTTAACGAGTTTTCAACAATATAATAAAAGAATTTAGGTTCCTACAATTTAACTCCGGTATCAACGTTAACATTCCTTCGTCCTTCATGCATTATAATTTGCTAAAATGTGTGCCTTCATAAGTTATTTTTCCTTTTGGCCTTCCTCCAAAGTTAGGTGCTGATTTTGAAATTCAATATTCCTTTTGCAGATAGAATTAGGAAAGTGAATTTGGTTCATTTTTCAAAGATTATTTGCCTACATCACAGTCTCCTGTTTCTATAAATATATATATATATATATATATATTATAATCCTTTGTTGATGTTACTTCCACTATGACTTGCTTCTTAAGCTTTCGATACCTATTGACCAAGTAAATGTAATTTGCAAACAAGTTTATTGGATGGTTGTTTCAAAATTTGCCACTTTCACTTTTTTGCAAGTTCAAAACTTTATCGCTGTTTGCGTTGTTCTTTAGATTCTTGAAAGCTGCGAAAATAGGCGATACAATAATAATCGACTCCAAGACGACAAAAGCTGGCAAAACAATTGCATTTTGCAATGTGGACATATCGAATAAGAGCAGCAAAGAAATTGTGGCACAAGCTAGTCACATTAAATTTATAATGCGTCCCGATAATTAATAAACATAATTATATAATTAATGTCAAATACTTACCTGTATATGTATGTACAAAAAGTCAAAAATAAGATTAATAAAACAGTAATTTATACAAAATTTGTTTAACAATTTATTAGTTTTTTCGCTTTTCTTTAATTGCATTGCAATAAAATCTTCAAACAACCAAAAGTTTCAATTCCATTCCAATTTGATTAAAAAGGTCTCATGGGCTCCATGCAAAGATGTTCAAATGTTACAGATATTTGGCTCAACTTGTAGTGATGAGTAAAGATAGTATTGGTCTTGCAGTTTTGTCTTGCCTTGGTATTGCAAATTTTGCAAAATTAAAAGCAAGACTTGGCCATGCTGGTACGACCCAGACCAATACTAAATGAATGAGACCTTTGATCCCTGCACAGAGTCGAATTAAATGTCAAGCTAACACGTCATACAAGCTCTGACGGTTAGATATTTTGAAAAATAATGGGGTACGGGGTGCGTACTACATCTGTACAATAAGTAAGATTTTTTGTAAGTAGATACTTCCTTAATTATTTCCACGCGCGCCCCTATCTAATTTTGCGCCCCTAGGCATGTGTCTAGTTGCCTTACGGACAATCCACCACTATCCCTGAATCAGGTAAAACTGTACTTTTGGGACAAGGATTTGGTAAAAAGTCGTATACAAGCCTTGGGAAAAATGTGCGGCACCCCCTCCCGAATGTTCATCCTTGGGAAGAAATGCTTTCATCGCTTGGCCTGCGTGTTGACTTTTTCCTTGAAAACTAGCCTGAACCTAAGTAATCAAAATTTAGCAATATTGCTGACGACCTTATGACGATGATGATGGATAATTTTAACATTACAAGAGCACAAAAGGAACAAACAAACAAACTGTTGGTACAATAAATTTTGAAAAAAAAACAAGAACTAATCTCGTAAGAACAATATCAAGACGTGCCTAAGTCGCAAAAGCAAGATAAAAACTAAGTTGATCTTGTCTTTGCTCATTACCAGCAGCTTGTAAAATCTATTATGTTTAGATATTTCTAATGCAAAGATCACACAAGTAAAAAAAATGTAAGGAGACATATGATATATTAATAGTACGATTAACATTACATTTTTAATTACATTTTTGTATTTGTTAATCATTTTTTTTCACTTTTGTCTTCACTGAGTCCTTCAAAGGGCCTCGATCGGTAAATGGAAGAAATATCAACATGGTCATTAGAGGTACTAGTACAAAAACTTGCAGAGCGAGTTCCAAATACATATCACAGAAAACTCCAAATATCGACGGAATTATGACTTCAGTCAATTTACCCAAAACGTCAAGAGTTTCGCCTATACTTTCCCTTTTATTCTCTACCACCACTGTAGGACTTCTCCAAAAATCATTGACTATAGTTTTGGCGACTATCATGGGTATAAAACATAGCAAGTAAATTTCGTACAGTGGCGCAAAGCACAGACCTATGAAACCTATATTAAGCATGAAGAAAACGTTGACGATATTGTCAATTTTATCCAGACTGAAGTAAGATTTTATGAAACCGCTGGTAAAATTGACTACAAAAATTATCATTCGTTGATATGCCACTGTGTACCCTATTATAACTGCGGACGCGTTGTAATTTACTTTGAGAAGAATGGGATATTTTGTAAAGAAAATGGTACCACTAAGTGTGAACAGGAAATGAGAAAGAAAAAGGAACAACTGGTTCGAGAATACGTCCGAATCAAAATTCACAACGGCCGATGCAATGTTAATGTAGACCTCGTCGACAAACTCGTCTAAGACACTTGACTTCTTGATTATACTTCTTTTGGTGGTGGATTCTGAAATAGATTCCTTCGTACCGCTGCTACTCTTATCATCTTTCTCCTGCATTTGTTGAAGTGGCTTGAAGGCGTTTCGATTTTTGAGAAGAACTGAAAGAAAAGAGAGAACAAAATGGTATGATACGTACTGAAATGATGTATTAAAATTAAGGTTAAGGATTTCCAGATCTGTAAGTAGTCAAGAATTGTTTTCGCAGTGGGGATTAATAGATTTAATAAACAAACAGAGTCTCTCAAAAACTCTAGGCAGTTTAATTATTACACTTGTTGCATGGAAAATGATAATCATGAAAATACAAGAAGGTCGTTTATATGCAGGGTGTATTCTAAACATGTCGCAAAATTTTAAGGCGTTATTTCTAGGAATATTTTGTCCGTTGGCGATTCTTAGAAAGCCACTGTGCATTGAAAATACAGGGCAATAAATATTAAAAAAAAAACAAAAAATCTCATTCTTTTACAAATTTTAATCATCATCATCGTAAGGTCGTCAGTCCTAAAACTGGTTGGACACGTACCTCCACTCTTTCCTATCCTGAGCTAATCTTCGGATTTCCCTAAAACTGGAACAACCCATATCTTTAACTATTTGCGAACAGTAATCTAATCTAGGTTTACCTCTACCCCTCCTAACTCCTGTTTCTGCCTCTAATATGTCTCTGACTAGACCTTCGTGCTTGAGAATGTGTCCTACTAACCTATCTCGCCTATTTTTTATTGACTTCCATAGAGCCCTCTGTTCTTCTACTCTTTCTAATACCTTTTCATTTCTAACCTTCTCTATCCACCGTATTCTCATCATTCGTCTGTAACACCACATTTCGAACGCTAGGTTAGAAAACCTTTTCTCCCGCGCCCACTGTCCATGTTTCGCACCCGTACAGCACCACGCTCCAAACATACCCCTTTAACAATTTTTATCAAATTTATAAATTAACCGTTCAGGAGCATAGAAGTGACTTTATTTTTTATTGAAGACGATTCGACCCTTCGCTATCCTCTGCTTTATATCCCTACTACTCCTTCCGTCCTGACTTATCTGGCTTTCTAGATACCTAAAATTAGCAACTTCTTCAAATTCAATCCAAATCTGAAGTCATTAGTTATACTTTTCCACAGGAACATTTGACAAACAGGATTAGACATCGGCAACCAATAATGAGAAGATTCTTTAGTTGGGGGTAAGATTTAGATTAGATACATTACACATTGTTACTGTCGAAAGATATTTATCGCCATATATCTTCATAGCAAAGACACTTTCCAAAAATCATAAGAGAAAAAAGTGTTTTGAGAATAACACGGGAAATGCCAAACTCGACGTTAACCATCGAGGGCCATACATACATATCCATGTCTATTAAACCGAGGCCGCAAACAAAAACCAAACGGATATATAAATGAATGAGTGATTTTAGGCTTTTAATAAATTGCAAATCCTTGACAACTTATATTAAAAAAAATGTTTAGTTATTGATTGTGTAATTAATTGCTTACCAATAGCCCCAAAATTGAAACCGCATGAAACGAGACAGACTTCCCAAAACCCGTACAATTCAAAAAGATATCCTCCACTGACTGCACCTACCACAAATCCTCCAACACTTGAAGCGTGCAACGTGTTGGCGATATTAAAATGTTCCTCTTTCGGCATAATCTCTTTTAAAATGTTTATACAGAGATAGACCGTTTGGTTTGTTAAACCTGTTAAACACATAGAGAATTATAGGCTTGTAATTGTGGTGCATTTCTAAATTTATGGAATTGTTGAAGACTACATATACATATATATATACTGTTCTTGAAGAACTGTACCTAGGTATCAGGCGTTATGAAATTATAAAAAAATGGTTTTTATTATAAGATAGTTATGATTTACAACCAGCTAACATTTTTCTCAAAATAGGGTTTAATGATACTCAAAAGCACTTGATAATGTTTCTCAATTAAAAATTGTGATGCTTGAATACCAACTGTTAAACTATCAACGTAAAATATCTGAAGTTTTTTCTGTATTATTTGATGATTAATGGTTTCCTGCATTTATTTTATTTAAACCATTTTGTTTGATTTATATGTGCGTTGACAATGTAGCAGGACCGTACTGATTTTTTTTATATTGGTCAGCTTCAAAGAGTTTAGAATTGAACTTTTTTTATTTGGACCTTGTTTAATATTAACTCTTTAACGTTCAATTTCATTTTCTAAATTGGCCAACAAACAACACTCTTTCTATTGGTGTGTTGACGTTTATCTACAATTCCAGTATCAAATGTAATACTTACTGTAAATGCTACGAATCAATATCAAATTGAAGCAGCTTTCGGTTAAACCCAATAAATACAGTGTTATCAAGTTGATTAATAACATCTTCTGTAAACTGCTTTTATATCCAAATTTTTTGGAAAAAGAATTCTGCAGAAATATAAACAATGAACAATATAAAAATGTACGTTTTGTTTTCAATTATTTTGAGGTGTAGTTTTCATTCAAGTCTTTAACAAATTCATTGCATCAGTTTAATGTCCAACAACAAAATAACAAATGTTGTAGAACTACAACTAGCAAAAAATTCCAGCTTTTTAAACAGTTAGTCAATAGCAAATCTTTTACAATAAAATATCATTTTAGTTTACCAAAATAATTGCTATTATTAAGTATTGTTCTGATAAAATGTAAAAATAAAAGTACTTACTATGAAACTGAAAATTGATAAAGGTCATTAGTAAGTTATTTGACGTAGAAAATAAATGTTAATTAAATTAAATTGTACAAAATTTAAATGATGAAACTCGCTATCCAAAGTTAGTTCCTTTAAGAGAACACAAATTCTTTCTAGATAAAACAAATATGATTTACTTACAATTAAAGGAACTGATAGTAGTTGACATAATATTTGTAAAGATATAAAAATTCCTGCAACGGTGTGAGATCCACCTAAACTTAAGATCCTTGGGGTTAACAGCGGCACAATGAGACCAAAACATAAGGAATCCTTAAAAAGGGAAAGGACAAATAGTGTTAATCTAAAGAATACATACTTGTTTACGACAGATAAGGAATTTGGAACATATAGACTAAACAGTATTGTACCTTATTGTAATTGTTTATGTATTTATTTTATTGTCACCCGTTTTAATTGGAAAAAAGGCACTGATGCCAAAGTAGTTTTTTAAACGTGAAGGATCAGAGCCAAAATAGGGTTGCAAATAATTCTATTGATGTAAAATCAACACCAATCATTTTATATGAAAATATTTACAATCCTATTTTGTTTTTAATCTTTTTCACATTGTAATAAGAGAAAGAAATGGAATCCATAGTTTCTTTATCTTTAGATTCATCTAATAAGTGAAGTTTTCTGAATCGTTTTCTAAGAATTTTGGATTATACGCATTTATTAGCACACCACGATAATTGTAGTTTCTAGTTTTACACAGCTGGGGTACATCAATTCGATATTGTTTTGCGGGCTGTTTTGTCATTAGTCATAGAATTTCGTAGTTCCTTGCTAGATTTATGATAAGTGGTGATTTGGCAGATGCTGATATCAATTTGGAACTTCAAAATTCCATGGATCATGACATTTAACCCGGAAAACAATATCGATCCAATATTTTAGTATATCCATTTCCAAGGAGTTTAGAATTTTTTGGACTCCCTTCAGTTAGAGACTTAGAAGCCATTCATGAAATGTCCTCTTTTTAAGGTTCTCATATCTTTTTAAAAGTATTTCAAATAAACTACAAAATGCTTCTCTCAAAAAAGTATTCAAATGCAAGATAAAAATAGGTATTTTTTTTGTTTTGTATTTGCATTTTAAATGCAACTATTTCAATCAAATCACATCTCTGATTATGGTAATGCGTAATGTAGGCCAGCAACTTGGGGTTATTGGAAGGGTGTCAAGTTCCGTACATGGTCGTAACGTAATCTATTGGGATTATTAAAGCTGACCAAGCTATAAACTCAAGATTAAAGAACATATTTCGATTATATCTTCTATCGAACACCCGTTCGGACCCGATACCTTTTTAACGCCGTGTGCACAAAACTTAGCCCCCTTTGCTTAGTGTCTACAATTAACTCACCAATAACTGTCAAAAAACTAAAATTTGAGTTTATCAGGTGTTTTCTCATTGATTTCATCCTTTATGTCACTAAGAACTGATCTAGACTTTTGATGAGTGACTCAACAACTCATAAAATAGCATTTTTCAGACTTTAATAACTATGTAGGTTTATTAGTGTTGTTTTAGGGTTTTAGATCTTTCTGGGACCATAATAAACATGCAAAATTAAAGCGGGTAGGTGTAATATAGTTATGGGAGGGAGAAGGCGAAAGTAGACTGAAATTTTTAATGTAATATTTATCTGACACACTGTCGTGTGTCTACATATTGAGATCCGTCAAATGGGAGGAGCCTAAAAACATGGCGCCGATTAGGGAAGATTTATCGAAGTTTCTATAGTGTACCGTGCAGTTTCCATGTTTTAAATTACGATAAAATGATAAGTATTGACACAATATGTGATTGGGCTGACACGAAGCCTCGGAAAGGAAATTTCGTTGAAGCTGAGCGTGTTTCTAATGCCAATCACATTATAAAATTCGGAAATAACAAATCCGGAAGCTAGCCTTCAAATTCCGTCAACTTTACTGTCTACTTTTTACAAACTTCGGATTTAAAAAGTGATTCACGTTATATAATTGGTGAGGTGATTCTGGGTGATTTAAGCAATATCATATCAATGACTTGCGCGTGCAAAGCCGATTTAAGAGAACGTTGCAAACACATTCTTGCAACTTTGTTGTATTGCAGCAGGTAGGTTCTTAACCTCAAAATACTTATATCGTATCATTAGAATTGTGTTAAATCAATTACACAGGAATAAATAATTTCTCACTTTATAATTTTAGTCTGATTCTAGTTTTAAATATTAAGGTTATGGCTAATGGTAAATACTTGTTGAAATATATAATCATGTGCATTAGAATGACGTAAACAAATTTTTATTCCGGAATTCACTTCTTTGATACCTACTGCTTTCATCCAAGCTTCTATTAGTTTACTTTTTCTCTAATTTTCAGAATATATTTTTTACATATATAAAACGGTTAGTTTTTATTGGAAAGTATTTAATGTAGGTGAAGAGTGAAGATCTGTCTGAAGTGCTATTGCAGCTTTTCACTGAACATATTAACTTTTTATTTGGTTTAACTTTACAAGAAAACTTCGTCGACTCCATCATCAAAAAATTTTTTACTTTTTTAACGTGTTTTGTTATTTTAATAAACAATTTTACAATTTGCGTGCACAGTTCCTATGTAAATTTTTCCCTCATCCAAGTTATAAATTTTGCCACCAGATTGTGTATGCCCATTTGACGGATCCCAATAGCTGATAAACAAATTACTTTCTGATAATTTTGAAAATTATACCCAAATGTAATGCATCAGTTGTACGTACCAGAAAAGATACGGAATAAATAATGTGCCTTGCAGCCGCCCTCATTTCGTCAATTGTAGCAGTGGCTCGCCGCTTCTTCGTTCTACTTTTCACGATAATATTTGACGGGTACGACCTGGCCTTATCACTGTTTATTTTGTCACTGGCACGCACAACTCGCGATTCGAAATCGCCGACATGTTCTTCTTCATTGCACTCCGTCTTGCTCTCTCGATCTTGAATAACAAATAACTTTATTTGTAAAATCACAAAACTAGGATATAACTATTTAACGACAAACAATATCTAACTCGTTTCAGTATGCGGTTCTCAAGGTAATCGGCGATGATAATAATGGAATTGAAAGTAGAAAAGCCGCAGCGTCAATGAGAGTCATACGATTGGTCTACTACCATACAGAATACGAAAACGTTGAATAATCTAATCTTTATGTCGCATTCGCATATAAACAACACTCTGTCTGAATATACATATAGTTAATTTTGTGTATTCGTTATTAAATACGAAATCATGAATTCCATGTTTACTTTTCTAATCACTGAGTCTCTATTCTTTATATAAAACGCATCAAAAATTGAAGCAAGTCTGTCGTGGATTAAGGTGGCTGAAGGTTCCATAGTAACAAAAGCTATTATATGGTTTCTATAATTATTATACAAGAAGTTAAGTCTATGTTAAAATAAATATTTCAAACATCAACCAGTACCTTATTCCTATTTACTAAATTCAAGAAGGAACTGTGGCGGAAAATTTGGTAAAGGTCTAGATGATGGCCCCCACCCCCTTCGGGGATCGAAAAAGGAGGTCTCCCCAACCACTGTACCATAAAAATTTCGTGGCGGTCTCTCAAATTAATAAATATGCCAAATTTTTATAGATTTCTAGGCATGTAAATTTTTGTATAGTCATTATTAAACAATATTCAAAGGTAAAACCAATGAAAAATACATAAAAATATCGAGAAAGTTATAAAAAACATTATTTAAATATCTTTATCAATAGGTTAGGTTATCGGGTTTTGTTATTCTCTCATTACTTTTCCTTCTAGAACATTCCATCAAATGTACTAACAACCCTGTCCTATAAATACCCCGAAAAATACCTATCTATACCGGCTGAGGAGGACATGAATTGATAGGTCCAATAACGGCTTGAGGTAGAGGGGTTTTAGTTGGTAGGTCCGAGGACACCTTCCTCGGAAATCCGACACTACCCAGTCGTACGGATGGCGGGGTGTCTTTTAGAGATTTCCCTTTTTCCACGAAAACAAGTCTACAGTCTCTACTACCGCTTGTAAGTTGCTTCTACTATTTTCTGCATTGTTTTAATTTTGTTGTCTTTGTTATTGTTGTATTATCTTGTTCTTTTGTCACTTTGTTCTCGTATGTATGTTTTATTTTCCTTGTGTCTTTTTGCGTCTTGTGTTTCCATTTTGTTTTTGTACATATTTGTTATTTGTTTGTATTTCGTGTTCTAGTTCATTTTTGTATATATAAATTGTTTGTATTTGTTAGTGTTTTTTGTTTGATATTTTTTATTAATATTAACATTAAAATACGATAAAGAACCTTCAATTATAAAATTATCTAATAAATTTCATTGTGTCGCTGATTAGTTTTTCAGAAATATTTTTGGAAAAATGCATCAATTGTGGAAACAGCTGCACAAATATTATAAAAAACTTGAAACATTAAGAAACCCTCTATTTTCTTGCAATTAATCCAATTTATTTTTAACAATTTTGTCCTTAAAGTCAATAAAAGTTCGTTAATTCCCTGTGGTCTTTTACTAGTTAACGCGCGACAGTCCTAGTGTTTTATGTTGTAAGAGACAGATTTATATTTTACCCGACAGATGGCGACTAACCGTCCAGAGTGTGGAATAGGAATTTCGGTACGATTTATAAAACTTCAGAAATCACATAAGAGATAAAGTGTTTTCTATCCTTTTTAATTACCAATAATGGCTACTCATGCAGTTAATCCTGCACAATCAATGAAATTACATACTTATATATTTCTTTAATCGTATTGAACGGATTTTCTTTCTACATAATACAGTTGGAGGACTTTGTTCTCAATTATTAGAATGTTCAAAACGTGACTTTAGATTTTGCCTAATTAAGCCGAAATTTAAAGGAATGCTGATTATTATGTTTAATTAATTGGTTGAACAAGAACTTACAAGACTTGTAGGGATACAGTAAAAGAACTTGTTTATAATCTGAAGGACAACAGTGAAAATTGTTTGACATTTTATCACTTAATCGAAACGCGTTAGAAAGAATTATTCAAAAAGCAAATTATGTTAAAAAACACTGCAAATTTATTGTTATATTTGACAATTAACCATCAGAAAATGTCAACAAAACTTCAAAATTCAACTTTGTTGACATATCCGTATTCCATGAAAATTAATAATTTACTGTGCATATTTTCGTTTTTGTATCTTGGCATTTCCAAGATCGATATTATCTTTGACATTCATTTTGTGCTACCAAACGTAATTGGCACGTTGTCACAACGAAAAAGGGGTCAAAGGCATATCCAATTTTTTATTAGATATCTTTATTAAGTGATTAATTACTATGCACCGGTGAATTATCTTCCAACTGATTTTTATAATAACAAAGGTCAAATTCTGAAGCAAATTCCTTAGGTACTTTTACGGAACGTGAGAACCGTGATACAACAGCGATGTAAACAAACTAATTTTGAATATCAGTAAAACAAACCATAAATTTAAAGATACACATATATGTATAACACAGAACAAAACTGTGGCTAAAAAATTAAAAAATTGACCAGTGTCATTTCTCAAAGCTGATAAATATTAACCAATGTTGGAGTTCCACTTAATCTTAAAACGATTGAATTAATCAAGTACACTAATTATTCCTTGTTGGTCTCACTTATGTTATTAGGTACTTGTAACTAAGAAATTTTTATATTACCTAACAATACAGAATAATCCTCATATTTTAAACTGCATTACTCATTACAGTTAAAAATGTTCATCCTATTTTTCACTTTCGTTAGTTTTTTAAACTACACATCGAAGAAGCGATCGACATCATCTAAGACAGTACAACTGTAGGGATAGATATACAGGGGCAAAAGCTTAAAATCTATGCTTAAATTTTCAGATGATATTAATAGCAGTATTAATCAGTAGGAATTAGAAATAGCTCTAAATAAATTGGAAGCGGTATTGTATGAAACTAAATAAATGCAAAACAAAAGTAGTGGTATTTAAGGCAAGAAAAAGTATGGAAAGAACGAATATAAAGATAGGAGAAGAAAAATTAGAAGAAGTCGCTAATTTTTGGTGTTGGATGAAGTCAATTATTTTCGAATAATCACTTTCATCAATTTTTTCTCCTATGTGAATAATTTAAACACCTTGAAACTTTAAAAGTGTATTTTACAAGAAAGAACCATGAATATTTACAATTATAACTCGTTGCTTTCAGGGAGATTGTTGCACTGAATTCTTAATATTAAAAGGATAATAATTATACCTCTGATTTCCCTACCAACTACAATTTTAACAATAGAAATACAACCGGTAACAAATACCTAAGTTGTTGATATGAAGAACTATATACATATGTAAATTTAACTACCGATGGTACATTTAATTGTCGGTACTTCCAAATGTACTTTTAATGGGGTGGGTTCTATTGTCCTTTTGTGTACGAACATTCCACAACCAGGTAAATACACAAGTCACTGACACCATGATAAGCACTGAACATCCCGGCCGCCTTGAAACGTCCTGGGGACGATTTAAAAAATGTACCTTTTTGTTTCTGTAACTACTGTACACTATTTTCTAAAGTTGGTAAAGGGCAAATCTTAGTCGTTGCTATCTTGGTTGTTCCTTTGGTCGTACGAACAGTAACTACTCGCACAATGCCGTCGTTTCCAGGATGCAGAGTAATTATACGTCCTAAGATCCATTTTAAAGGAGGAAGTTGATCATCCTTGAGAATGACTAACATTCCTATTTTGACATCTGTATCCTTGGAAGACCATTTACTTTTTTGTTGAAGTTGAGTCAGGTACTCTTGTTTCCACCTTTTCCAAAAATGCTGCTGCAGTTGTTGGACCCTTTGCCAATGTGATACTCGGTTCGTAGGTATTTCAGTTACGTCAGGAACTACTGTCGTTGTAAGTGGACTACCGATAAGGAAATGTCCAGGAGTGAGGGCATTAAGGTCGTTAGGATCGTTGGAAATTGGGGTAATAGGTCGGGAATTAAGACAGGATTCAATAAGGGTTAAAACTGTGTACATCTGTTCATAAGTTAATATAGCATTACCTACTACTCTTTTTAAGTGGTGCTTCATTGATTTTATTCCTGCTTCCCATAAACCCCCAAAGTGAGGGGAACGTGGTGGTATAAAATGCCAATTTACGTTTTCTGATGAACGGTGATCAATAACGTGTGCTTTAAATTTTTGCGAAAGAAATAATTCATTGAGTTTCTTTAATTCATTATTCGCACCTACAAAGTTAGTTGCGTTATCTGAGTATATATGTGATACCTTACCACGTCTTGCCATAAACCGTTTGAAGCAATTTAGAAATGATTCGGTCGTCAAATCGCCGACTAATTCGATGTGACATGCTTTTGTTGAAAAACAAATAAATAATGCAATATATGCCTTTATGTTTCGGCTACCGCGACCTTGCTTATCTTTGATTAATACAGGACCGGCATAGTCAACGCCGCTATGTATAAACGGCCTTGAAATTTCAACCCTATGTGAAGGTAGATTACCCATTAGTTGCTCCATTGAAATGGGTTTAGACCGAAAACATGTTATACATTGATGTATAATTTTTCGTACTGAGCCCTTGCCTGAAAGGAGCCAATATTTTTGTCGAATAGCTGACAATGTAGATTGTATTCCAGCATGTAATTGTTTTAAATGTTCGCCTCTTATTATTAGATCCGTAACATGATGTCTTCGAGGTAGGAGCATGGGATGTTTCGTATTAAAGGGAACTGATGCATTTTTTAAGCGCCCACCTACCCTTAAAATAGAATTTTCGTCGAGAAATGGGCTTAATGAAACTAATGTACTATGTTTGTCTATTGTTCCGTTTGACTGTAAATATGAGATATCTTTACTAAACTCTTGTCGTTGAATTGATTTAATAATAATATGTTCCGCCTTTTCAAGTTCATCTACTGATAATGAATTAATGACTTTATTTTTACTATAACGACAGTTGTGTATAAATCTACAGCAAAAAGCTATAATTCGCCGAAGTTTATTAAATGACGAAAATTTATTGAAAATATCATCTATATTTTGAATTATGGTTATTTTATGGCAAAGTTTACGCCGTTCAATGGCTACTAATGGTAATTCTGTCGATTCACTGTTAATAAATGATTTAGGCCAATGATTTGAGTCTTCGAGTAACCATGGTGGCCCATGCCACCAAAGGGAAGAATGTTCTAAGAAACTTGAAGAACAGCCACGAGAAACAATATCTGCAGGGTTGTCTTTTGTTGGTACATGAAACCAATTATCTCGTTCTGTTAATTCTTGTATTTCCGCGACTCTGTTTGCAATAAAGGTTTTCCAATTTTTTGACGATGATTTGATCCATGAAAGAGCGATTGTCGAGTCTGTCCAAAAGTAATAATTATTGAATTGTAAATTTATGTATGTTTTAACTTTGTTTGCTAATTTACCCAGAAGAAGTGCTCCGCAAAGTTCTAACCTAGGTAGCGATGTATTCTTCAAGGGCGCAACTCTTGATTTCGCACACAGCAGGTTCACTGATACCTGGCCAAGTGAGTTAATTGTTCTAATATAAATACATGCCCCGTAGGATGTTTCTGATGAATCACAAAACCCATGTAACTCTAAACTAGTAATATTATTTGACTGTATAACCTTTCTGGGAATTGAAATATTATTGATGTTTAGAAAATCTGCTAACATGTTAGTCCATTGTGTAAAATACTGGATTGGCAATGATTCGTCCCAACTTAACTTTAGAGACCATAATTGTTGCATCAAAATTTTAGCTTGAACTACCACAGGTGCTATGATACCTAAAGGGTCGAATATTTGTGCAATAACTGACAGGACAGAACGTTTAGTAATTTTTCTGTGATTATTTGGATTAAAACTGAACTTGAAACAATCTGTATTAGTATTCCATAGTAACCCTAATGTCTTGGTATTACCATCGTTATTAATATTAATTATACAATCAGTACGTTTGTTATCTGGAATTAATTCGGAGAGATTAGATGCCCACTTTGATAAAGTGAAGCCTCCACTATTGAGAACGGTAATAATTTGGTTACGCAAATTCTTTGTCGCTTCTATTGAATTAGAACCTGTTAGCAAGTCATCAACGTAAAAATCTCGCATAATAACTTTACATGCATCGGGAAATTGATTTTCATTATCACATGCTAATTGTTGTAGACATTTTACTGCTAGATAGGGAGCGGAAGTTGTACCATATGTAACGGTTGTAAGCCTGTAAGTTTGAATTTTGTGATTTGGGTCTGAGCGCCATAAAATCCGCTGAAAATCCCTATGATCAGGGTGAATTAAGATTTGCCTATACATTTTTGAAATATCTGCTGTAAAGGCGTACTGAAACGTGCGAAAGCGTGCAATGATGTTAAATAATTCTTGTTGTAATGTAGGACCTACCATTAGATTATTGTTTAGACTAACTCCTGTACTTGTTTTCGAGGAACCGTCAAAGACAACTCTAAGTTTGGTTGTGATGCTAGAATCTTTTATAACTGCATGGTGTGGCAAGTAAAAGATGTTTTTGAGTTATCTAATTCTTCTATTGGCACAGGTTCCATATGACCTAAGGATAAATATTCGTCAATGAATTCAACGTATTGATGCCTAAGTTGTGCGTTTTTGTTTAATTTTTGTTCTACGGACAGTAATCGCTTTAATGCATACTCTTTTGATGAACCTAATTTCTGTGAATTTTCTTTAAGCGGTAACTTAACTATGAACCTACCCTCAACATTTCGCGAATAATGTTGTTTAAAATGTTGTTCACATTGAATTTCATCTGATGTATAATTTTGTTTATTAACGAGAACTTCTTCAAGTTCCCAAAATTTACTTAAAGTTTTGTTTAAATCGGAATTAACTGAAACATTACATTGAATAGATTTTGGAAGCGCAATTTCATTATAAGCTCCTCCTAAAACCCAGCCAAAATGTGTTTTTTGTAATACAGGTTGTCCATTTTGTTTGATTTGACCTACACATAAGATTTCCCAAAATAATTCTGCTCCTAAAAGAAGATCAATGGGTGCTGGTTTGTTAAATTCAGGATCGGCTAGT